CCCTTTAAATGAATGTGCATGCTTCTATGTGTGGAGAACTCACCCATAGGCATTAAGGTGTTGGAGGAGCAGTTTCATGGCCTCACCACTCAAATCCATCACCTCCACCAGCAGCACCACGCTGTACTGAGACACAATCTGCAAAACACAACCACAAAGAAAAGAAAGCACAGAACTAAAAGCTATTTTTAAATTCTATAAATGTTTTCAATGCATAAACAAACATGAACAAACTTGTGTGTTTCAGCACGGTGAGTTACCTTAATGATATTATCCCGTACGTCCTCCTTGTTGACTTTAGTCCATCCCAGTCTCTTCACATTGAAGGCAGCGATCTTCATTTTGACTAAAAATATCAATCAAATTAATTTCATAGATTTAAACCGATACACCCAACATATTATCAAGGCCAGTGGTGGACAGTAACACAGAACATTTACTAAAGTGCTGTACTCAATTACAAGGTACTTAACGAGAGTATACTGTATGTCCATTTAAAGAAACTCTATTTTTTTCTACTATTTGCATAATAGGTGACCTTTTTAATAATTCATCATAAAAAGGTGTGGAAAAAGTGACGTGCCAATTCTCAAGAACTCTTTTGTAGTTCGAGGTTAAGAGCCTTAACAACACCCACACACACACACACACACACACACACACACACACACACACACACACACCCACCTCTCTGGATGAAACAATGGAAGTGACCGTGTTCCTTTTTGTTTTACTGCTTGAACATCAGATTAATAAAAACAACTTGAATCTGAATAATTGTGTTAGAAAGGTAAAATAATTCAAACTGAATTGATCCCATGAGAATCATTTAGATTAAAAGCAGCACAGAGAGTAAAGTAATAATGATAATGTGGAGCTATAGTATTCATTAAGGCTACAATCAGTGCTGGCTTCAATATATCTATAACTATTAAAAGTTACCTTTCTATAATGCAGAAACACAAGGCATTTAATGTGTATTATTCTATATATTATGTCGTTGGATTATTATTTTCTGAATGTGAAAGCAGCATTTTACTGTAGATTGTTGATGCAGTGCTAGTTTCAAATATATGGGGTACTGCTGGAGGATTTAACATCTAATACATCATGATGTTTTTGTAGTATTTACCAAATATATTAAATGTTCTTTTATATTTAACCTGTAATGAGTTCATAAAAAACAAATACTAGATTGAACTGCTTGTAGTTCTGATATACAGCCATTTTAAAATCATACTACATTTACACATATTGGATAACATACTGTAAAGGTAGTCTTTGGGGACAAACAGTTTTCCAACAAAAATATAAATGTATGCATGTATATAACTAAAATGATACAAAAAAAATCGCTTTCTAGCCAATCAGTTAGACCTGTATCATTTGGTTTTGATTTTAAACACTCAATACATCTGGGCATCTCTCAATGAAATCAACAGTACAAGCTGGACTGTGGGGTGAAGGTTGCGCACTGTTGCATCATGGGAGTTGTAGTCTTCTCCAGGATTCCTTCAGTGTTCCTGGTGCAGGAGGCTTTAGCATCGCCTCTGATATAAAGTGTTAGCTGAGCTTGTTTTATCCCCTAAGTTAACACCCTGACAAGTAGGAAGATTTCACTAACACTGACTTATTATTAGAAATAATACAAAACAAAAAGATCTGCTGATAAAAACCTCTTTATAAAAATGTAAAAAGTGAGTTTCTCCATGGAAACTGGGCCGAGGGGCTACGAGCTAAAGGCTAACGTTAGCTTAGCTTGTTTCTCTGTTAACTTCAGATCCAGACATCCCAGAACTAAAATCATTCATCCGGTTGAAATAGAGTTACATTTTTTTTTAAAGTGAATACACATACACATGCTCAAAGGGGATACGGCGCCATCACAGGAGACCAGAGGAAACTTGAAACTTCACAACTCGACTGAATATATAAGTCTAGTAGTTTTAAGATAAATACATACCAGAGCTAAAGAAGAAGAAGAAGAAGAATCGGAGGGATGAAACCCTCTTTGATGGTCACACATGCAGAGCACACAGCACACACAGTGAAATGTGGCCTCTGCATTTAACCCATCCTAGTAGTAGGAGCAGTGGGCAGATATTGTACAGCTTAATATATTTGTATGTATATAACTTGATGTCAGAAAAAAGTATAAAAGTAAAAGGTACATTATTTCCCTGTGCGATGTAGTGGAGTAAAAGTATTAATAATATAAATACTCAAGAAAGGTACAAGTTAGGTCCAGGTGTGCCGAAAATTCCTTATTTAAAGTACTCTGTTTGTAAATGTACTTTGTTACTTTTCAGCACATTTTAAATGTATGTAAGCAGAATTAAAGATGATTGCAGCGTGTTTATAATCAGAGATGTTCTGATTTTCAGCTCCAATCATGCAACAGGTTCCTGAAAAAACTACTGAACGTTTATCTCTGGCGCCACCTAGTGGTACTTTCTGGACTAACTTCACACACTACATTTTACATTTATATTTAATATGTCATTGTAAATACTAAATATAAAAAATATCCCACATTTTGTATTACTGTAATTTAGCCCGTCAATAGTGTTTTATTTGTCAGATAGTTTACTAGTTTTCACACGTAAAGTTTTATATTTTCACTCATTTAGTTCTGTTTTATCTGCTATTAAGATGTTTATATACTTGTATATTTTCCACACTTTTTTAACTCTAATTATGTGCAATACTGGCTTAACATGCTGCTGCAACGAAAACATTTCCCCATTTGGGATTATGAAGTATATCTTAACTTATTTTATCTGTATTAACTGACCTGGGAGCAGCTGGCGATGCTGCTGGTGGGCAGCCCGATGGACGGGGCCCAGCCGACGTCTCTCACCCAATCGCTGAGAGCCTCCAGCTTCTGGTCCTCCTTCCACTGACCG